AACATCTGGTGAAAATTTCATGTCATTAGCGCCTCTAGTAATATATTTACTGAGAAAAATGTTGACATGTTCAATACTTATTTTACCTGCTGTATGTACCTCTGCCAGATTTCCCAGCCATTTCACTGCACTTAAACCAAACGTGGTCCTCATAATCAGCAAGCCCAAGACAAACTGTAGCCCATTTCCACAAAACAAAGTTAGCCAAGACCAGTGCAACAAACACAGTCTGTGTCAACGAAAAATAAATGTCCTCTGTGTGCATGTGCGTGCATTTCCTTACCCTAAAGGGGTGTTTGGAGAACAGCAACATTAGAAAAACAAGCAGCAGCAAACCGGAGAACGACACAATCTGCCTGGTCCCTCGCTGAGCCGTGTCCAGAGCAATCCAGCACACCACAGCCACGAGTACTGACACACACATTATCCTGAACACATGAAGTCATTATGTTAACAGGGAGTTGTTCCTCTCCACTGTCGCCCACATTTTCATGCTCAGTGGATTGCATTTAAGCAAATATTGAATTTTGTCCACTGGATTTCTTGGAAAGAAATAATTATACGAGTGAAAAGTGAAAATTATTTTAATATAATTACATTTAGGGTTCTGTGTGTTGTATTCATACAAACACAAATATATAGTTTATTCATTTCATTAAAAAACAAAAACAAACAAAACAAAACACATTACAACAAAACAATGCAAATCAAATAAAATGAAAGGCAACAGCAGAAGAAATTAATCTTACATCTGCTCCTATTTACAAAAAAATTATATGAATTTCAAACAATAATGAACCAAATAAAACAAAAACAAAAATTCAACTCCTCAAACCGTGACTCATACAAATACAAATTAAACAATTTCATATTTTTAATAGTTTTGCTTTGATCATTTCTTTAAAGGAATTAATTGACCCAATGCTTTTATAATAATTTTCCAGGTTATTCCATGTCATATACATTTTACTGAAGTGCATCTGTCCTTCCAATTTGTTCAGATTTTTGATTTAACAAACATTAATAATCCCTTCAAATTATAACAGCTTTCCCTTTTAACACAATTTGATTGGAGGTTTGAAGGTAACACATTTTTATGAGCTTTATACATAACCTGCAGAATATGATATTCAACCAACTCATAACATTTTAATAATTTTAATTGATGAAACAATATATTAGATGGGTGATAGTAATGATTTCTTGTGATATTCTTATGGCTCTATTTTGTAAAATAAAAATAGGGTTAGTGATTGTTTTACATGCATTTCCCCAGACTTCTATACAATAAATCAAATGTGGAACAATTATTGCATTATATAGTGTAAATAG